CGTACCAACCAAGTTCATTTCCCAGTGAACTTTTTAACATTGTTGTTTATTACTTTTATTTACATTTGAGACGAATATTCTAAAAAGAACTGCATTTATTACACGAACGGCCCGTCGTATTGCTATGTTGTGACGCGCAATGACCTAGAAGCTGTTTAGTCTTGAGAGTTCGCCTCGCTCCAACATTTGAATACTTACATTGATGTTCAGCGGTCCAGTTCAGGAAATATCTGCTCATAATGAAAAAACCATGGTCGCTACTGAGAATAATCTTACTATTATTATATGAGTTCTTAATATATGAAGTCAAAACGGTGGTATCGTCTTCAGTTCACATACCTTCAAAGGAATTTCGGGTTAGAAAGGTAAGCGTGATTTTAGGCTAATAAAAAACATTCTTCACACCGTAGAAAGAACTAATGATCATTTGTTGAACGAAAAAAAAACAACATATATGACTGCCGTCATGAGAAAAGGGCCCTTATCTTTTGACGTCACAATGCTCAGAAAACGACGTCAAAGTCGCGGTATTGTAAATTTTGTTGACTGCGTTTTTGTAGAAATACACGTGTAGATGGAATGAAATAAAACTGGATTTCCTGGCTTGCAAAAAAAATAAAACCATACGAATTTCGAAGCGGAAAATTTTAATAAATAACATTTTTACCATTTAGTACATGTATTTATTCAGGTTTCTGTGTAAATATTCTGTATAACATAATTCAAACGTTATGTTGAACGCATTATCAGATAGAGCGATTAAAAGCGACGTCTATATATGATGCAAGGCTAGAGATATATACTAGTATATATATTTTTTTCTTTTTTTTTTTTGACTGAGCTATTTGAAAATGCTTATATTCGACTTATACATTGATGTATTAATTAGTCTTAGTACTGATAGGTAATTTGTACATACATTTATATTTTTTCAGAGGGAGAGAGAGAGGGGGCACTCAATGCACATACACATGTACGCGTTGTTTAAAAGTAAAAATGTTTCTTTCATTTGGAAAAATATATTGTAATAATGTTATGATATATTTTATTTTTATTCCATTGCTCATCATATCAATAAGCGCAGTTAGACCAGTTCACGTGTGTGGCGTCGTTTTCCAAGTGGAGATGGGGTGGGGGGGGGGGGGTATAATTAACAAACTTAAAAAGTCTCCAAAGGTATAGATACTGTAATATGGGAAATTTGATTTTCCTATCACAACAATGGAAGGGGTGTGTATGCGGCAAAAGGCCTTTTCATAAATAATTAACACCATTAGAATATTCTCCGGGAAAAATTTGGGGGGGGGGGGGACCCTCTCCCCTTTGATTATACTGCCTAAGGATCAAAGAAAAGTGATGTGCGTATGTCTCTGGTAAATATGTAAATTTTGAAATCGGGCATAATAAACATGTGTACATAGCATAAAAACTTGCACTATCGAATGTTTTCAAAGTTTTTTGTGTCTTTTCCACAGTATTTTCGTATCCATTGTTTACTTGCACATGTAAGAAAGCTCAAATGGAGTAGTAATAAACGGTGAAACTACAGGATCCTGGAAAACAATAAAGCATGCACAAAATTGCTGATGAATTTCATAATACGAAGTATTTGCTTTAACAAAAGTTGAAGTACATTGTTATCATAAATATCGAATCGAAAAAAAGTATTATTCTTTGATAACAATTACCTTTTTCTATTCTGATGAAAGTCAGCTTGAAATTAATTGAACTTGCATTTTGTTTAGGAATTAAACAGTTAAGGTGGAACCCCCCCCCCCCCAAGAAAGTAAACAACATTCAATTCGATAGTAGTTTTATTCTTGAAAAATTGTATGAAACAGAAGAAACAATAGATTAGGTTTTCAAGAAATTTACTTCGAATAAATGGCGATATGACGACAACCTTTGGAAGAAATAGAAAAAGTACTAGTAACAAGCTTAAGTGGTCGTGGGTGTCATTCAAAATTATATAAAAATTCTCAAATTGTCAATTTTAACATCAACCGCAAGCTCAACAAAGACAATCAACAGCGGCGGATCCAGAAATTTCATAACAGGGGGCGCAGTAGAAGGCAGGGGCTCTGGGGGCTGCATTGAAGCCTCAAGCGGGTGCAGAGCAAGGTCCTGCTGGGGTCCGGGGGCGATTCCCCCGGAAACTGACGAATTTTAACAAATAAGAGGTGTTTTTCCCTTGATTTAAGGTAATACAAACAAATTTTTTTTAAAAAATTCAAACAGGGGCTTGGGGGGGAGGGGGGGGGCGGGCCCGCCGCTGGATCCGCCTTTGATCAAGAAATCTACATCATTGGGGGAAAAAAAATAAGAGAACCGGTAATGATTTGAGCGAAAAAGAGAGACAGGTTTTCACATACAACTTTGTAGCTGCTGGTCTGTAGTTCGTTGATCTGCACGAAGAAATTAGAATAGACAACCGGAGAGTTACAAGACGAACTATTGAAAATATAGCTTTACATTTGTTTCTTTCTGTGTACTACTATATTTCATTTGCCAGCTCAAAATATTGCAAACGATGAATTCCTAGCATGCATTCTACTTTTATTTCATGATCGTCTGAGAAATATGAGGATTTATTCAGTCAAGAAAAATCATTTTCCAGAGTCGAATTCGTTGACAAAAAGCATGACGACGACAGGGATACATAAAAAAAATTATGTCCTTGTCACTTGGCTGTCTGAAACCAATCAGATAGCGCTTATATAGAACAATTATAATGAGGTTTAATAAATTCTGTTGCTTCTTCATGCCTGTGAAATACGTAAGGAATTTGATTTTTGTGATTAAATGAAATTAAGAAATGGATCAAAAATACACACGCACACGCGCACACCTTTCAGCGTTAATTAGCTAAAACTTTACAGGTGATTGCCCACCATTTTTGTATGTTCGGCAGGTAAGAATTAATATATGATCGCATTTAGAAATATTTATTACAGAAACTTCATTTTGAGATTACAGTAGCGGCCCTTTTACAAATGTTTGATTTGTTGTGTACAAATGTTAGTAACGTCGAGAAGAGGAAAATATTTGAAATTTCACAATAATCAAAGAGAGCATAGGTAAAAAAAAAAAAAAAAAAGAAAAAAAGAAAAGAAAGAAAATAATGGACAGAGGCATTTATAACAGCTTTTGATAACATATGATTTACTTAAAGAGAAATAAGTTGACAAACGTATCAATTTTCATACACGGGCTAAACTTTTATGAGACAATCCTAAGACCTGATTTTGTTCCTCTATTTTCTGTTTCTACTCCATCAGTAAGGCAGGCGCAGAAACAAAATTGTATGAACAATGAAAATGTAATTTCTTTTTCAGCGTATACAAAAAAAAAAATGCGCTTGGACTTTAAAATAGAAAACAAATATTTTTAATCTATGATTTTCACGTGCTACGGATAAACCTTTTTGGAGACAATTTTACATATCATGACGTGATATTTGTCCATTAAAATTCATCTCTGATACAGAGAAAACTCGAGGTTTTGTTTGGGTTGGATCTTCCCTTACTCCAGAACTGTGTAGATTTTTTTTTTTACATTTTAATGTACAAGTGCTTTATATATTCTTTAGTTGAGCTAAAATAGAATGCCTAGTATGGAATTGTACAGTACATACATTTTATTTTCGAATGAACATAATCCGTTTCTAGAGCCTGTCTACCCCCCCCCCCCCCCTCCTTTTCCCTAATCCATGTAACTGGATCTGCCTCTAGAATTGTAAACATAGTAGAACAAAGGCAACTTCAGGGTTTATATTGACAAACTAGTAACTTGGAAGAAGAAATCAAATATCGGCTAGAGTTTATACGTATCATTAAGTTTATTTGAATAATTTAAAACCGAATTTTACGCTTGCGACGTCATTACGTCTTCATGGAATAACGTCAACGTTGTTTTGATGCGCCTTACTAAAATGATCATAAAATAGTGAAAAAATAAGATATTTTTAAAGGTAATGTATTTTTGCATTCAGAAAGAGTCATGCTATCAAAATTTACCAAAAAGTCATTTTGTGAAATTTTCACCTTAAGGGCCCTTTTCTCATGACGGCAGTCATATCTTTTCCATCGCTTTAACGGCTTAGAAGTTTCAAAACCAGTGTCACCGTGAAAGAAATATGTAGACAAGATATCATCTCGCTGTGTGATTCGGTCACGCCATGACCCCTGACCCCCTAACAAGTTCATACAGAATTAAACATTTTTTTCTTGAATAGTTCATCTAAGAAAAATTTTTGCAAATGTAAATAATTCATCTTAAATGGTTCCTCTGCAGAGAGGAAAGGGGTATAACATTTGCTTGTAAAATATTTCTTTCTCAGGATGATTATCAATTGCCAATTACATGTGATGCAGAATTAGACATTAAATCCATCGTGGAGTATATGCCACCTTTCATTATTATTGTATTTATCAGAGAAAATTCGACAATTCAATACATCCTAGACAGATCTCTAACGCCAAATAAAGAAGATGAACATTCAAGTGCTTATGTGAGTTTGTGACTTTGACAAGCCGTTACTACAAAGGCCTGTACTTTGGTCTTGCAGCACACGGTCAAATTCTGGGAAGACTGGTCAGTATGGGAACATTCTATACCATCTGCTTCAACATTAAATAAAATCAATAAAATTCATGAAATAAGTTGCTAGCCAATATAGGTATAATGCATCTGAAACGCTGATGCATTTAGAAATTAAACCCAGACATGGCATCATAGGTGTTATCTTGTAATTACATATGCATTTTAAGGTTTGAAAACAATATTTGGTAGGTTAAAGTGTTTTAAATCTGTCACACAGAAACACCCAAACAATCAGTGGTACCATTGCTTAAAACGATTCTCAGAAAATATACTTTAAGGTAGAGATGTACTCAATCCCGCCCGAGAGGGTAACAAACAAGATTTTGGATATGAGACTACTAGTAGAGGAAAGGTAAATATTATACAAAACTCTTTAATACGCTTAAAATGGATATAACCTAAACATAGTTATTTACAAGTAATTTTGTTCGGTTATGTTTACTGAAAGGTAGAGGTTTTGCCTGCAGTAAGAAGAATGACATATATGACCAAAATTCAAATGATGATAATTGTCTATGTAAAGTATATGTTAAATTTATGCATATGTAAATTATGTTTATTGAAAACAGAGTGCACACTTTTTTTACCAGCTGGTCTTTATGGGAGGCAATAAGGATTACTGGGTGAAAATTGATATTCGCCATGGAGTCTTTCATTGTTGTAGTGTCTCTTGGATCCCCTTGTGTTATTCCATCTTTGCAATATGTATTGATAGTTTGCAGCCAAAAATGGAAGTAGTCTTCAAATAAACATAAATAAATAAATATCAATTTCCAATGAATTTGACTTTAATATTTTTTTATATTTAAAAAAATGTCATATGTTCATATATGCTCTCTCTCTAACTAGCTCGGTATGAAAAAAGTAATCTCTTCATATTGTGTTAATAATTATATGTATTATATACTAGTCACATGATCAATTTTAAGAGCATATACCACATTTTAAATGGGTGCTAAATCTAAAAAATTAGGTCAATAGGAAAAAAGGAATAAATTTCTTGCAATCATCTTTAATATTTTTTTTTACTTTAATTAACCAAGGTTAATTTTCTTTTGTTTCTTTTTTTTTTTTTTTTGATTTCATTATATAGTTTAATTACATAGTTTATTTTTTACTGCTGTGTTAAATTTGGTGTGTAAATTCGTTATCCTTTACATTGAATCACTACTTTGCAAAGGCAGGTAAGATATAGTATGAGATTTACAATGTCATTGCTATTCATTGGTAATGCTTGGGAAATGTCAGGATGGTTTTCTTTTTCAATATGTACAACATGCTTCGTTAGCAATGCTTTTCTCACACACTCTCTGCAAAATACTTATTTCATAAATATAAAAGACACACACACGAAGAAGAGGTATGCCTAGGCGAAGAAGTTCATGATTTTACCAATGTAAAAAAAAGATATGTACATTTTAAATTTCTTTTGTTATTTTTTTACCTTAAAAAATATAACCAGTTTAATTAAAATTTACAATTGTTCTTATTTAGGTAGGGAATCGGACCAACTTAATTTAGGATTTTTTAGCTTAATTATTCAAGTGTTATTCACCTCCGTAAGTCCAGGAGTGAAATAAGGATCCAGTTGGGTCATGGCGATCTTTGTCATACATTCGACTTTCTTCCTTAAGATTTTTGGACATGTCGACTACCACGATATAGAATGCTCTCCTTGACAGGTATACCTGGTGACATGCGTAGTACGCCACTTGTCCCGCAAAGTCTGTCATGCTTACCACATTGTTGTCAAGATATTGGTTTTCACTATTTGCCTTCCTGGTACTAAAATCTGATTGTAAAAACACATAATTCAAAAATAAATAAATAAATAAATAATAACTTACTTAGTATATGCATGACAAAATGTCTTTAAACGTTTCAAGAAACTTCATTAATAAGTTTCGACTTTTTGGTGGTAGGTGTATATTTCCTTTTAGGTATCCACAGGTTTAATCATTAAAACATAACTGACGTTAAACGGGTAAAAAGTGGTGGTAGAATGCAATCATTTTTTTTTTAAAGTTGATTGCGGTCACCTCATGTTGCTTTCAAGATTCTTGGACCACCGTACAAAAAGTTAAACGAATGAATACACACAGGTATACTATTATCAGTCATGTACAGTAAAAACAAAGACCAATTTACTGACTTTTCAGTCGTTTCAGTGGCGAATTAGAACCCTGTCGAACGCATGCATATCACATAAGAGACTGTTTATACATTTTTCTAACGTAAAACTTGGATTGTGCAGTAGTTGGATAGCGTATAGTCTTTTTGAAATTCAGGTCTAGAGGACATCCACAAAAGCAGAATATTTAATTATTGGAAGATTAGCATACGAGTTCTGTACAATAGGCATGCAAACACATACCTACAGTACATTTATCATCATCGTTCACTAGGCGGACTCCTTCGTCCCTAACTTCCTAAACAAACTTCTAACAAACTTCATTACACCCCACCGATACTAAACACATTCAAAAAAACTGAAAACGACAAAGAAGAAAGTAGGGGGGATTGATTGAAATAATTGTCGCTGCATGATGTCCGTTAGTACTATTTGGTAAGACCTGTCTCTGTTACACGTTTTCATAAACTCGGAAGATTCATTTTTTTTTATGGGAAACGAAATATCACCTATTAACTTGTTGTCTTCGATAAGAAACAAATCTTCATGGACCTCAAGACCTATAGTTGTCTCAGTTTGCTTATCTACATCTGTTTTCTCTCTTCCTTGAAGCCTTCTAAGAAGAGTTGTTTTTCCTGCTCCTGCACATCCAACTATCATACCTCTGGCGCGAAACATTTTCACGCTTTCTTGCTTGGAGTTCTTCACAAACCTTTTTCTAGCATCGATATCCCATCGTAATACTTCTTCAGGTATATTTACTGGATAAAAAATTAAATACCACACTTAACATTCTGCTAAATGTTTATATAAAATATTATGAGCAAACAAATTTTTAAGAGTTGAAAATAAAGCGTGGTTTGCTGTTAAATGACAAGAATATTGGTGAACACGCCATAAAATATGAACATAATAAAAGAGAGATATGAGTTGAATTTGAGTTGTGTGTAAATCATACACGGTACCAGTTTTCATGTACCAATGCGCATTTCGACAAATTATGTCTCTTTAGTCCTATTTCATTTCTACTTCCTGGTCAGTCAGTATAATGATCCAGTTAAGGGTTTAAATGAATTTAAATCAATGTTTGAAATGAGTAGTACATGCTCACGTTAAATGCCAGAAAGGTTGCCACCAACAATCCATGAGAAATTGACATGTTATCTATGCTAGGAGGCATTTAAAACAGTTAGGCAGTAAACATGAACGGGTATCGTGAATTGTTTAAAAAATCGACCTACTACAAAAGTATTTATATCTTTCTGATATTGATGTCATAATTTATTGATTGTATGTTTTACGTCGCGTTCGGGAATTTGTTACTCATATAAAGACATCACCATATGCCGGTGAAGGGCTTTATATTTAGGTCTTCGATTCTTGGCACTCGTGATCAGGACCACTGAGCTGTGAGGGATCTTCATCGTGTCAACGCCTGTCGTGACAGGGGGCCTAGGTTTTTTAAGGTCTCAGCCGAAAGACCTGAACCTTTCACTTTAAAGTACCAAACCTTCGGATTGAAAAAAGATTATCAAATGTAATTTGAAACATTAATAAAAAAGGTTTAAAAATCACCAAAAGATTGAGTGATTTAATCAATTGAATAATGCCCAGTCCTCGGTTGATGCTTTAAATATTGAAATAGTAAAAGGACTATATACCCTGAACCAGTAAAAATCACACAAAATTAGTATGATTGTTTGTTTGTTATTTGACTTGCAATCGACTTTCACTTAGGTAAACATATATAACACTGAAGAACATGGAATCGGGGGGAGGAGCAAGGGTATGTGTGCTGGGGGCCTGCCTCTCCCTACACTTTTTCTGAACGTAAATTTTGAATTTTTTACTTTCAATTTAAGATAAACAGGTTGCCCCTCTTCCCCTTGACTTTAACACCCCCTTCCTCCCCCTGTCAAAATTTATTGAATTTACGCTTTGGCGGTTTCTCATCTCCTTTTTATTGAAGGGGATACTAAAAGATATTTTCATATGTCAATAGTACGTTAAGTAAAAACGTTATGACAGAAGTCATGTAAACGAAGGGTAAAAGATAGAGTTAAGAAAACAGTTTGTACGATGACACAAATGCAACAGGTCAGATTGATATTTGGGATAATGATGGAATAAGAGTCAGTTCTACGGTTTGGTCACTTGATAGTAAATCTCTGTAAATATTTTTTGATGCAGAATACTTGCATATGTATTTCGATATCTGTTAGATTTCCTTTGCCTTTTTTCAGTCTAATGTATTTGTATTGTTTTATTCATGTGTCTGTTTATGAAATGTGAAATCAGTAAAGCAGAGTTGTACATGTATCTTCAGAATAGGATAAAGGACAGACGCCACAAATGCATTGTTTATAATGATACACCTGTAGAAATACAAAAAATGACTGTACGTACTAAAATTCATTATTTAAAAAGGGTGCTGTTTCTTCTTCTTTTTCTGATTCATTATAACATTATCAAAAATTGATATATTTTCATTTATATATATATATAAATACTTACAACGTTTACTGATACTGTCATGAATCCCCTCGTCAGACATGGTACAGTGTGTGATGATGTCCAGCTGTAGTTTGTCTATGAAGAAGTCGTACATCTTCTCCGGCCATTTTGGTAAATACAGACATCTCTCCCCCTCACTCCTCTTATAATTCGAGGATCTACAATATTCTGACACAACACAAGTTGAAGCTGTTGTCAGGTAAAACTCCAGATCACAGTCCTCCACCAGACACTCCGTCAAAAACGCATACATGACGTCATGTCTGATTTCTGTGGAGTTAAACTTGATAACACTTCCCTTTCTATCAATAATTCCCTCCGTAATACTGTTATCTGTTAAGTTTATTTCGTCACTTGAAGGTAGGTCTGTGTAATACCTTTCTCTCATTTCCTTGAACAGTGTTTTGTGAGTTTGTTCATTGATATCAAGAGTATAGTCGTCCACCAACAGAAGACAGTACAGAAGACATCTTATATCAGATGGATAGGTGTGGTATTGACCTGAAAATTAAATTAAAAGAAAACGCACTATTAAATCAATATTTAGCATTTTGTATTATTTTTGCAAAATAGAATTTAAAGGATGAAATTACTATTCTATTTGAAATTTTTTGAGACCGAACTACAACAAGAGTGTTACGTTTTGTTTTTCAGAGAGAAAATATTTAATGAAAACATTTCACATATGAAATATGCACATAACAGGAATCATAATCACATGTTTTATTACATGTCTATTTCATGTACATGCCTATTAATTTTATATTAATGTATATGTTACAGGCAACATTGTCTGGTAAATTGACTTTCTTAATACTTGAATCAGCAGGTTGATGTATCATGAAAATTTAAAGACATTTATCAATGGTTGCGGGTAGTATAATTTGCCTGTACAACGCGTCCCCATTTTTCATGCTTACGCGTAATATGCTTTTCATCTACAACTAGAACACTTTTAAAAAGTAGTTTGACTGAAAGCTATGAAAAGATATCAATTAATTTAAGTGCATTGATCCGTACGCAATACATTAGGCTGTTCAATGTTAATTTTACGTTTAACTTCACCCGTGCGAGTAGGCTTAAAAGAAATTCGTCTTTGGAAAAAAAGCAAACAATATGGAATTTTAAGTATCTGTTCCGATTTGGTCTTACATTTAGCGACATAGTTTTGCATCCTGTAGTGAAAGAAAATGTGCTGTGAAATCGCGGTCGGTGTGTTATAAGAAGAAAGTGATGTAAACAGCATGCAATCATAAAAACATGGATGGTTTTATAATTGAAGTTAATGAAAATGTTTGGCGAGTGCTTTATGTCAGTAGTCAGACTACAGACTCTCAGTTCGTCATATTTTTGCTGAACCATTCACTGCATTGGAGAGAAAATTGCAAAGATTCAGTATAGAGTGTTGAAAAACCGAGATGTTACACTATACAGTGAGATATATCACTTTAATTTTATTTAATAAAATGAAGTTTCATTTTAAAATATTGCTATGAAAATTGAAAGGAGAAGTAAGTTGATGTGATTATACACGTAGTATTCATGTACTTACAATTAACTGATTCAAGGAATGAAAATATTATACATTTAGAGAAAGAAGCTGTTATACAGAGATTGAGGGCTTTCAAGTGAAAGAGGAAGAAATAAGAGTGGAGGGGGGATTCCAACGACCCTGTCTTGTGTGTGTGGATGTCAGGAAAACTAATTTAACAGCCATGGTACACCCAATAGTGTACCTTCCCTCCCTTTTAAAACCAAATGCTAAACTAATGCAATATAAATAACAGAGAAACATAGTATATGTTCAATTTTAAGATATTTCAATTAAAGAGAATATAATAAATATCATCATGATTTTTATTGTAGATACCGGTCAACTATTTCCACAAGAAGAAGCATTTTCCAACAGTGTACCATAAATCCAATGGACATACTTCTTGACTTAGTTACAAGCTACTCTGCTGTGCCTCCAGTCTACTTCGTTTGCTCAAAAAAGGGTGCAAGCCAATATGTGTACTTAGGAAAAAACATATTGCTTGTGAAATGTAAAACTGATTTAACCTAAGATACCAAACTTATACTCTTATTACACAACAAGTGTTCTTTTTGTGTACTGAATAGTTTAATTTGAATATATAAATATTTGTTTAGAATTTCTGTTTGTTTCTGTTTGTTTATTTTTTTCCTCCCTCCCTCGCGATCGTAGGTTTTAAATTTTGTAATTTTGTAAGTGACGTTAAACGTAGAATTAACTTTGGACAGCCTTACAGTTATCTTTAGCAATTTATAACTAGCGATTCCATGTTTTTATATGTTAGTCTGAGATAATTTACTTTAGAGAAGCTTTATTGTTAAATGATTTGCTTTAAGGTTTCATAAAAACCATTATCACAGTATTGTTTAAATAATCATGGATTTATATATAAAATTATATATATATATATATATATATATATATATATATATATATATATATATATATATATATATATATATATATATATATATATATATATGGTTGTGCCATTTAGGAGACCGCTCATATTTATATATTGGCATTAAGTAGCCTCGTAGAATAAGTGGACCAAAACCGGTCGCCTTAACATTTTGACCCTCTCTGAACAGAAAATTAATGACTTTTTAATATTAAATTGACAATAGTTAATTTTAGTTTAGTATATTTTTGTCCCTTAAATACAAAAAATATGCCAAAATTTTATGAATATAGAAATTTTTAAATTTAAATTTCAAGCAACGTATATATTGGTATTATTATATATCGTCATTATGTAGACCAGCTAAAACTTGCAAAATTAAATAAGATCTGCTATATATGTCTTATTTCTCCTAGTATTAAGTTTTAGATATTGTTCTCCCACTAATTTTGGGTATGTACAATTTGCTAAATAGAATAAAACTTTTTACGAGAAAATGAGCTTTAGAGTTTCGTGTTCATCAACTTCAAGGTTTTCGTGCGCAATGCCTTCCGAAAATTTTCGGAAATCCTCGGTATCCTTTAGGACCTTCGGAGAAATAGGAGAAAGACAAAATTTTGGTAAGTAATAACAAATTATGATTTTTTAAAAATACTTATTCATGATACATTGACTATATATTATGCACCAAATATCTTGCGGTTAACGTCTGGTATTTATTCATTGATAAAGACTTACGTATACTTATTAGCATGGAGGAAATTCGAATTGTAGTTTACCAACAGCGTGGTTTCAACAGATCGTTTGTTTGTTTTGAACATATTTTACTGACATAAGCAAATGGATCGGAAACAAGTTCTTACAACTTACTTGTTCCTAACAATTGATTACATGTACTTGAACAAAATAATTGTATTCTCTGCTTATTCATAAATATAAATGTATACTGAATAGCATAATATTAGGCTGGTGGTATCGTTCTTGCGGAGATAAATTAAATATTCGATAATTTACCTGAAATACTAACTCTAATTTCCTATTATATGTGGGGTAGGGTTGGGTTGGAAATGGGAGTAAGGTGTTTCTAGGTTCAAACTTTTTTCACAGCCTAATCCAACCAGCCTTTCCTGAACAATTTTAATAGTAAAAGATTAATTGGGGGAGGGGAGGAGCCCCCCCCCCCCTCCAACCACGATACCACATCTCTGATGTCTATGGCAGCGGATACATACATGCATATATGTACATACAAATTTATGTATCTGACAGCATCCCCCTTAGATTTCTTGTACATAAAACATAAAGTTGATTTGGACAAGCCCAATATAGCAACAATTTTGAAATATCTTCAAAAATAAAGAGGAATTAAGGGCTACAAACTGCTAAAAAAATTCAAAGGGACCAGATTAATATTTTTAATCGGGTTAGAAGTGGGGTTTGGGTGCAGGATGTGTGGAAATATTTTGTGGTGTATATTCCATATAGGCAAAAAGGCTGTATGCTACACATCATTTTTTTTAAGGATAGAAATTTGGTTGAAAAGGGGGGAGAAAAGTTGATAATAAATGTTATCTATTAATTTCATTTTGTTGCAAATGCCAAAAAAGAAGCATTTTTGACAATGCGCATTTTTGTACCCATACTTACAGTCTAACTTTTGTTTAATGACAAAAATATTCCTATAACTGGAAATAAAAATTAAGCCAAAATTCAAGTATTATATTAGGTCTGCATCAGCCTCCTTGCTTACCCATTATTTGCGCCTCAAGTTAAATCTGTGACATCACACTAGCCGACACATTACATGTAGTAGAAAGTAATAATATTATTATACGCCAATGATATTCTAAACAATCTATTACACTGTACCTTTTGGCATGAATGGAGGATTAATTAACAGGTTATATCAGAGATGAGCATATCAGTTAATAGTTATATGTATTACACTTTCCATGATTGAGTAACAAAAGATATACTGTATAATTCTTGCAATATTTTTTTCTATAATTATAGTAGACTCAGTTAACATCACCACCGTTAAAGTTTCGATCTACAGCACTGCTGATTTAATTTCTCAGATTTTATTAGAGATCTACAAGTACCTTTACAGGTCACTTAATTAGTACATGTATCTCAAATTTAATTGGGCAAATGAGAATTTTGTCTTTAACAACTTAAATGACTCAAAAATGTATTGCATGTTCAACATGTTCAGAGTAAATTATTTCCTTTATCATGAATTTATTCTAATTTTATGGGAGAATATATTTATAATTATGAAAGTACTAGTAAATCAGTCTACACATAAGTAAAAATTACCTCAACTATTTGAATTACTTTGCAGAATTTATTGCATTGTCTTTATTACTTAACAATCATGTAAAACTTTATTTCATGGCCGTAGGAACGGGGGGGGGGGGGGGGGGGCAATAATTTTGCCGAAATATAGAATACTAAAGAAAACATAGCTACTATATGCTTGTGCCCCCTCAATAAAAACGCCTGATGACCTTTTTCTTTTCTTTTTAAGCTTGTCAAGGAATTTTTGGTTGTTAGTGCCCCCCCCCCCCAAAGAAAATGCATGGCTGTCCCCCCTCCCCCAAACTGAAATTGTTTCTTACGGGCCTGTATTTATTGATTTTTTTTAAATGTTTCATTTATTTATAAACCCATTAAGTGTTTCATTTTGAAAAGAAATATTAGAAGATAATCATAATTTCAGAAAGAAGTTGAAATTAAATAATAAAAGAGACCCTAAGAAAAATTGCTTGTTGTCATTGTCAAGCTTGAACAAGTCCTGATTCATATGAAACAGATCCTGATCAATTTAAGCATTTTTTTTTTTTAAACATATAATGAAAAGAAATACTGTTTATCTTATGCAGTTGCCATGGAGAAATTAACTTGCTTATACTCTCAATTTAGTTATAAAACCATATAACAAGCAATAATTTTTTTTATTTTAATAAAATTGTTATGCAGAGTCTACATATATTACTTGTATATCTACATATGTAGATTAGAAACTTTCGGTCGGGTTCAGTTTAATTTTGATCGGGTTAGTTAATACATTGTTGAGTCTTTTGATCAGCATGGACATGGTTTGATGGTATGATAATATTTTTTACAGTTTCAATTTCTAAACTTTCCAGGAAAGTTTAATTCCTGCATTTTGTACAATGGCTATATATATGCCGTATATTTTCCCATGAATTTTTTTTTGAAATTATATTTTTAAAATTCTGACAAGATTTCTGAGGAAATTTTTAACTGCCTAGGGTAAGATTTATGACAGTCTGAGACATTTTAAACCAAGTCTCTGAATAAATTAGATTTTGTTGACTTGTTTGCATTTATGCATTTATTTTTATTATAGTGTGTTCGGTACCACATAACATGCGAGAATACCTTCTCCGGTATGTTGGAGAGAAGATTAGCAAGAAAAAATCGCGTGAGAAAATGAGAAGTTGACAGAAAAAGATTTTTTTCATTATCGAAAGGGACATGTACAACATCCATAATGGTAAGAAAAGATAATTATTTATAGTCATATTTATTTGTTTCTATAATGTTTCTTTCGATAACTTTTCACTCATATTGGAAAGCCATCACTTGAGAACCTCTGTACTCAGGACCCTTGAGCAATGAGTAATTTTGTTCATGCCAGCACCTACTACAACATGGGACCTCAGTTTCATTTGAACACCGGTCTCCACATCCTGCAGTGGGATTCGAACCTGTGATGTTAGGATCGACTCCTTTATCTGTGACTCTAAAGCAAACACTTAAACCACTGCGCCATGCAATCAGCTAGTCATACATGTATTCCTTATGATGTGAGCTAGCATTATGAAAATTACATGTGCTGTAGATCATAGGTTGCTACATAGTTCTTTGTATGTTGCCCTAAAAAAATATGGTGTTCATCAATGATTCATTTTGGTGTGCATCCTGCGTAAATTATGCACAAATTTTGCTCAGGACGCATTATTTTAATAAATGTGCATCCCAATCAACGCAATAAATTTATAGAAGAACGTGTATTATTTGGTATAATCCGATTTTAAACTTGACCGATTGCATCATATCCATGTGCTAAGCGATATGCATGAACAATTTTAACAGGTATATATAAGGTTGCCAACAACAGGTCAGATTTCACAATTGCAGCCAATTAACCAGCAATTATCAGAAAATATTTGAAAGTTAGATAACATAGTTCGATTATCACTGATTATGTCCATACTGTGGAACATTTCTGAAGCGAATACTATACCTTTGTAAAAGCTATACATGTAACCTGTATCATTTTTTTTTTTTTTGTTTTATGAGGACATACTATCTTAATATCACCCACCCATTATCATCTGATCAGCATGATCAGTACCATTAAGCAGGAAAACAAATATTTGAAGAGACATACTGTAAAAATAATTTTGTAAGATCTTGGAAAACATGTAATTTTGGAAGTAGATTGACATATAAGTATATAATTTTTTTTTGTGGATAACAGTTGATTAGGGTAGGTGGTCACTGGTGTGATTTTGACCCATTATCTGATTATTTTTCATACTTAACTTAAGTTTTGTTCGAGTATATGTCAGTGTTTGTTATGCTACAACATTTTCTGGGTAATTTTCTCTATGGAATACCTTTTTACAAGATTTCTTCTTTTTTTTGGAATTATTTATTTAATTTGCGAAATACATGTGTTCGACTTACAAGATATATGTGTTGGGTTATTTCTAGTTAGAACAATCTAACTTTGTCTCGGAACAAGCCCTCGATCACCACAGTTAGAATATGTCCCATATACTAGCAATGTAGCATATTGGAAAGGATCCGCTCAGAAATGATTTTGAAGAATACAAAAAAAATTGCACTGAAAATAACTATCAAATTAATCATAACAAACCTTTTTGAGATTTTATATGCCTTTTAACCTAAAAAATAATCCATAGAAATAAGAAAATTCAACTCATTTTCTCAACCTTTTTTCCTCGCTTCAAAGGACAAGGTATGGTAACGGCTGAATCTGGCCCCTTATTTGATGTAAAAATCAGAACATAGTTAAAATAGTGATAGTTTGTAGTTAAGAACTAAAAATGATGCTTGTTTTAAAACCAGCACTAATTTTGATTCAAAGCTTACACGGAGACCAGAAGAGGGTGCAGAAGTAGGACAATTTCCTGAATTTTCTCAATTCTATTGTAATATCCTCAAATTTGAGATACTTTTCACTTCGGGAAACATAGAGCACAAGCTTGCCTATCTGAGATTTTTATACATAAGATGCATCTGATACTAGTGTATGAAATATATAAATTTGGTAGATAGGCAAGCTTGTGCTCTATGTTTTCTGAAACAAAATGTGCTGTAAAATCGATGAAAATTTGCATAAAATGAGAAAATTCGGAAATTGACATATTTTCTGATCTTCCTGTGACCTGTATGTATCACATAACTTAGAACCAATACTCATTTTCTGGCAGGGGTGACAACAGGTTTCTATTGATAAACTGTTGTATCATTCTAAACAACACCCCAAACCAGGGGCCAATGAGGGGTCTTAGCCTATCTTGTCCTTTACACGCCATGTTGAATTCGGAACTCTCTGGATTGTTCATAGAAAATGCAGTCAGTTCGAGTTATCGAACTTGCTTATTTTGATAAATTGCCAATACACGGAACGAATTCTATCTTTAAACCAGGTCCGTAGGACAATATCATTTTAATGATTAGAATATTCTAATCTAGGTTATTGAGATCACAGCAACAATATATAAACAAAATTAAAATTGAAATTATAATTCGCATCATCTCTTTTAAAAAAGAAAATATAAATTCATATCATTTTGTAGAACCAAAAAATATTGGTTTAAATATACTGACAATAAAAAAAAGAGACAATAATTCTCAAATTATGAATAACTTTAAAACATTGAGTGCACCTACAAGCACAGATCCCATGATTTGTAATATAATGCACACACAGGCATGTAAATCAAACATACAGATTTTCACTGATTAGCTAATATACATGTAGAACTAGTTTCAACTAAATACTCGTACAAATACAAAAGAAAAAAATAATTATTTTCCAAGCAAATAAAATGAAGAAATTAAAAGTTTTTGATTTTATTTTGATTTAAGAATTATCAAAGAATATTTAAGTCAAACTTCATGAAAAAGAAAAACTGAAATCAAAATATTTGTATCAATTTAAATGTCATGCTTGATAAATTTTGGAAATACTGACAGATACACCCTTGCATAACACATATACATGCATGACTAAAATTGTAAATTTTTAGAGACTTTGGATATGCATGGTGTCAAACTTTGTCTCATTTTAATATAAAATGAAAAAATTATAACCGATTAAAGATATTGTGATCTGTATTGTAGCATAAATATTGTGATACCTAATATAGTATATTAGATATAGAATAGTAGACGAAAGTGTATTATCCCAGCCCTTTATATTTGCAGTGCAGTATAAAACAGTTCAATTATATAATAATGAAGTCAAGAGAATATGGACATGATTATATGTAAATTAATAGATTTTGTTTTCATTTTTGCAGGTGTGTCTGATGGAATTTGTCATTTCATTAATAAATAATGCTGATAAAGATGCAAACTTAGCAATTGTGCCTAAAAAGTGACAGATTTGACAAGGAAATATATCCATATATAACAGTTACTGGTACTGTCTGAATGCAGTGAAAGGATCCAGATGAACAGATGAAGAGATTAAGTACAATGTACATCAATTACTTGGATGAAGAGAATCTGCAACATGGGGTAAGGTATATTTGCTGCTTTATTAGTTATAAACTGTAAATAAATTGTTAGCAGAAAATAGACACAAAAGCTTTAATTAAAAGCAAATCAGGGGTAAATACTAACTTTTAAAGCATGCAGATACTCAGTGATAGACTGATAGTTTGATAGTATCATAAAAACCAAAAGAACTTCAGTGACTTTGAATTCCTGATAGCCCTAGCTGTTAATGAACTAGTTGCCCATTACAGCCTTTGGCAGCTTATGGAGTCATGACGTGATTGTTGGGGGAGGAGGAAATGAATTCCCAGTGGAGATGGGTATGAAGATTAAAAATAGGGCCACAAAGAACCAGGTTATGGTGAGGCAGACTTGCCTCCTTACATTTTATTGTAATTATTTAACCCTTCACTCTGTATGAGTGAAATAAGTCTCGAATGGGACATAAAACAACACTCAATCAATCGGTCACACTTCACTCGCTGTTCACAGCACTTGTTGCTCTGTACTGGGCACTACTGGCTCACTTAAGCAGGTTAAGTTCAGTTTGGTGTTTACTAGTCATTCCAATGATAAATAAGTCTGAAGAACATTTTTTGTGAGTCGACTGCACAGCAGTGCAACACCTAGGGATCAATTTGCCTGGCATCTGTCTGTCTGTCCATCTGTCACACCCTATATCTCAAGAATTGTAAGAGGTTTAATTGTTTTTGATATTTGGTTAATATTTTGCTTGGCACTCTGACTTTTTTTAAATACCATGGTTGCCAATCTTGTGACCCTTGAACTTACCTTTGACCTACTTATAAAAAAGTTTAAAGTGCCAATATTCAGCATATTTTTGATAATTTAAAAGAGGTAAGTCTATGCTATTAATAGCATGTGCACAATTTATCATAAATTATAATGAAAAATACCAGCATTATAGTTCACTTGACTTTGACCTTTGTTTTACTTTTCAAAAAATATTTTGAATGGTTAATTTAACTTAAATATTTTGATTTTCTAGAAGTAGTGTTTTGATAATTAGCATTGATGAGCTCATGACACTCTACTTTGAAACTTTTTGATATCCAGTTATCACACAAACTAAAACTTAAATCCTATGAAAACAAATCGGGATCAGTATACCACAATGGGTGGTAATGTAGACTGACAATTGCAGTAAAGACAGCCTGAAATCTCTTAAGAAAAAAACTGTTGAAAAGATTATTGACCATTATATGGTGACGTCTCTTTTTTAGTGAAAAATTCTTAAACAGGATGTAAAACGACATACAATTAAACAATCAATCCAACTACTGAGTGAGCTTTCTAGCTTGTGAACTACCAATTACAGGTAAACTTTGGTATCTCGACATCGCATATGTCGACAACCTGGGATATGTCGACATCCTTCCGCGGTCCCGGCAGTATTTACTATATAAATTATTTGCAAAAACTCTGATATGTCGACCTCGTTAATGTCGACAACCCGGGTTATCTCGACGTATATTTACAGTCCCAAGAGCAAATGTCGACATCGGCAATTTTCTGCTTTACTGAACCTAACTGTTTGTCAGATAGGGTCGCTTGTCACGCACGGATGACTCCGGGTATCTCGACGTCGTCAAAGTTTCACACCTTTCACACCCATGTTTTGACTGCACGCTGCTTAATTAATTTTATAGACTGTGTTTGTAGGTGAATCCCAAGCCCCTTCGGTGTCTTTGAGAAGTTAATTGAGCTTGGGTAATATCATTACTAAATCTACACGATTCTGCGTAAATGTACAGAATGTTATTTATATGGAAACGTAACATAACTTTTAAATTTGAAAAAGATAACTAAATTACAATGAATAAAAAACACACTGAAAATTTCAAACTAAGGAATTAAAAAAATGTTTTAATGATATTTGTAGTTAAAATGTATTCAACAGGAAACAATCCGATTAACAACACGATTGACCAAATCAGCTGTAATTCGTGCATCTGTAACATCACTACGTTAGTTTAGATACACAAATCTCTTTAAAAAAATTAATTTTAATGTATATTCTTCCAGAATAGAATAAGAAAAAAAATAATCCGCATTTAATTTTTTTTTTTAACGTATATCGGATGTCGACTTTATTCGGTTCGAAGTTTATAGAGCACATTTCGTATCCTGTTCTGACGAAAAGGCAACTTACACGTGAATGCAGCTCAATGCTGTAACTTTGTGCTGAAACTTTGTGAATTTAGAAAAATTTCGATAAAGAACACGTTTCATAAACAAGATTTTTAAAATAACTTCTTAGTTTTTTAATAAAAATAGAGGGAATTCTGAAATATGTTGAGCTACAGTCTATATTAAAGTCATATACATATGATAAGCTTGGCTGTTTTGCTATGCAATGAAATCTTGGACGTCAAGTCTCAACTCTGATATCTCGACACCTCGGATATCTTGACATTTTCCGATGGTCCTGTCGATGTCGAGATAACGAAGTTTACCTGTATGTCCAATTGGAAGTAATATTTGAATGTTTTAAAATGTGATTGTACATTGTAGGAAATAATGTTCCTATAGAAAAGTCAAAGAATGTATACATGTGAGATTCTGAAGTAGCCGTACATGATGAGTAGGAATTTGAAGTGAATTATGGGAAAGGTATGTAATCCATTAGTTTGCTTTAAAGTTAGTGATTTTAAATCTGAACACACTGTGTAAAAGGAATTTTTCCGCCATATTCCTATATTCACGCTATATTGTAGGGTCCCTATATAAGCCACTCACTTAGTCACTGTTCAGTGTAATCTGTTGTCACCTGTCTGTATAGACAGACTGACGTATGCTACATAGCTCTGGGTAGCGACAAAAAATTACTGTGTACTTCTTTCACGGCAGGAGAGAAAGATGCCAATGAAACTTACAACAGTCGCACAGGTCAGTGCAGTATACAAACATACACAAGTACACGTAACTGCAATAAAATAAATAAACAAAGGCAATGCAAGATAACCAGCATGAGCATGTGTCACCATTCCACTCCGATACCTGTGACAATAAAGCAGTCAGGTGTAACAAATGCGAAGAGTATACCCTGGTGCTGATATAGTAGATGATATATAATCGAATATGGTGTATGCCTATTTATGAGATGTGTTCAGCTTTAATTGATTGTTTTTCTCTGACTATATGTACCATAGGTCATAGTCATTTATGGTATATACAGTGGCGCCATGTTTATCCGAACACTTCACCTTCCAGATGCTATTTTTTGGGAATAGATTTTTTCCATGTCATTCTGTCTCATTAATCCAGAAATTCGTGTTCCACATCCGAACGGTCGATTTCTACTACAAAACGTAATAGTTCATTGAAAAATGACTCGTTTATCCGGACGGTAATTTTTCAAGAAATGACTTTTTCATACTTATCTTCAGGGGTTGAAATTTTCCTGGAAATCCCACTAGCCCAGGGGCTACTGATTAGGAAAAAATTACTAGCCCAAATAAGAAACAGTTCAAAATTAATCAATATTATTTTTAACAAACTTAAGCCAAAGAGGCGTCCGGATAAACAAGGCACCACTGTATATATCTATAATACATGCATATAAATGTATTTGCTATTAACAGTGAGTACAGTAAAATTTTCCCATTAAGTATATTAATTTTTTCTATGTGGTTTACTTTATGCCCAATTATCAGCAGTTTCCATAATTGCCATATTTAAGTATAAGAACTAGGTTGCTATAGCAGACAAAAGGTAAATATAAAAAATCTAAAGTGCAAGGTACTTTATCACTGATTGAATGTTAATTAGGGCCTGCATGAAATGTTAAAGCTATATAGGATTCACATTGTCCATCTTTATGTCTTTCAGCCAGCAATTAACACTTCAGTTGTAACACAATAAACAAGTTTTAGTTTATGCAGTGTAATACTATACAGGGTATTGATGCATACAGTAAATGAGATCATTAGAATGGTGTATTTATATACTGTATATACTTGATATCAACAATTTTTCTCAGTGGTCTACTTTATGCCCAATTATAAGTGGTCTCCTCAATGGCCATATTTAAGTATAACATATGTATAAGCACAGGTTGCTATAGCAGACAAAGGTAAATATAAAAATCTAAGTGCAAGGTACTTTATCACTGATTGAATGTTAATTAGGGCCTGCATGGAATGATAAAGCTCTATAGGATTCACATATTGTCCATCTTTATGTCTTTCAGTCCAGCAACACTTCAGTTGTGACACAATAAATAAGTTTTAATTTGATATGCAGTATAATATAATACAGGGTATTGATGCATATAGTGAATAAGATCGTTAGAATGGTATATTTATATACTGTAAATACTTGATATCAAGGGTTAATTCAATTTCCTCAATTTTTCTCACTGGTCTACTTTATGCCTAATTATAAGTGGTCTCCTCTATGGCCATATTTAAGTACATGTATAAGTACAGGTCACCATTGAAGACAAAAGGCATATACAAAACTCTAAAGACCATGATACTTTGATACTGACTGAATGCTGATCTGGACCCTTGAAAAGCACTTAGTCTTAGTCTTATTTATATGACAATGTGTGGTTTGATATAAGTTAACTGAATTGCCTAGGTAACCATGGTAACATATTTCTATCTGTTTTTGGATGTTTTTGCATAAGCAAGGGCTTGGGTCATGCATAAACTTTTCACATTTTTCAACTTCTTCTCAAGAACTACTGGACAAGTTTAAACCAAACTTGTCACAAGGTATCTTTAGAATAAGGATGGCAATGATTAACTGGTTTATTAACTGTTAAGAAAGATCATAACCAGTTAAAATTTTCATAACCAGTTTTGTAACCAGTTACAATTTACATACTAACCACTTAGTAGATAAAGTAGCTGCAACGTTATTCTTGACAACTTACACGAACGATCACGTTAGACGAACGATTCCGCACGATTCACACACGATAAAATCTGTTACACGAACAATCCTTCACACACACGATTCTACACGTTACACGATCTTACACGATTGCTAACGGAAACGCACGATTCTTCACGCAAAATAGTTCAAATTCTTTAGGAATGGATATTTTCAAAAAGAAATAAGGCTTAATACTTATTTTAGATTTCAAATAATGATTGATTTTATTTCATCGACTTTGAAAAATGAAAAAAAAATAGAAATGGATATTTCTGGAACTAAATACATGTAAGATTTATGAATTATTTTAGATTACAAAAAATTATTTATGTAATTCTCTGACTTTAGAAAACTGATTTTTTTTTTCGTTCTATCAGAAGATGTACATGTAGGTGGACCATGAGTTTTGATTGAATTGGATTTCATAATATGCAGAAAGGGATAAGTTTGAAAAAAATGGCATGAAAATGAATTAAATTATAAGTTATATCCACATTTCAATTTGTGAATCTCTAAAATCAACAATTATTTTACAAATCATTTATTTGCAGAAATTAAAAAAAATAATCAAAAGTAACCTCCAGAGATAACACTGATAAACGAAACCCCGAGAATCATGTTGTGTAAATGTACATTCACCGAACATCTAAGTACGGTTTATCAGAAAAAAAATCATGCTATTTGACGAGAACACAATATTGTACGACTTACTATATTGTTTATTTCCAAGCGATAATAAGTTCATTCTGTTTTCAGTTATGTAAATCGCGCTTCATTTCTTTTTAATTCGGATTGAAAAAAAAAACCAGACAAGTGAAATGCTTGTATAACAAAAACATTCCAATAAAAACTTACAAAACAAAATTTACACGTTTCTTAACACACGATCATGCACGATTAAAACCGCAAACGATTGAGTCTGATACACGCACGATCTCGCACATTACACAAACGATCACGCATGTTACACGAACGATTCTACATGATTCTTTTGTCAACAATAACGTTGCAGCCACTGTAGTAGGGATTGCAATCGAATACAGAATTGCAAATCGGTTAACCGCAAAATGTTCCGACCAATTAACCGGTTAATTGTATCAAACTACTAATGTCATTTTCTTGACTTTTTTCAAGTACCTCTATTTCTATGCACAAGAAGTCTTTAAAAAAGTTGTTAGAGGTCAAATTCATTCTATTTGTCTTTCTTGATCATAAAACTACGCGCATATTTTTTTTCAATAGACAAGAAAAAATTCAGAAAACCATGAACCATGCCTGAGATATCGTGGATAATTTTCATGAGCGGATGTCTCACAAGTTCATTCTTCATTATCACCATAATCAAAACTAAGTCTAAATTGTATCACTTAAGGGGAAGAAGGACCTTGAGCTGAAAAAATACTTGTCATTCAATTTTTTTCATATTTTTTATATTTCTAATTTAGTATGTCCCACATATCTTAAAGCAGTTATATCAGTAGGTTTCTGACCTTATTTTAGAGATATTGATTGACAAATACTATGCCCTGCAGTATCTAAGTGGAGTTTTAATTCTTCATGTTTCCGGGCCCAATACTCTGTCCATAATGGGATTTTTTAAGCATATATAAAAAATATGCAAGTGGACATGTATCTCTTAAAATATTTCAGAGTATGAATAGGTTTAAAATTCGAAAAAGCAATTTTATCCTGTCACACCGCATCTGGATAGGGAAAATTACGTACTTTTTGAGACAACTTAAGAAACAAAAAAAAACGTAATTTACAAAAAATTTTATCATTCAATATTTTTAAATTTATGTTGAAATGCAAGTCCTTCAAATTATTGGTTAACTGTAAAAATTTTGAATGGTGAAGCTGACCTCAATATTGCTCAGGACATCATTACAGAGGACATAAGCATGACAAAAACGTGTCATATTTACATTTCTTGAGTACGGGAAAAACCAACTATGACGTCACATGTAAGCTTAATAAGCGAAATAAGATATGCCTACATAAGATTTCTGTCATCAGCCATGCAATCATAATTTTTATGTTCCCCGTTTCTCAAAATATTTCATCACATACTGATTATGACCTGATTTTACATAATAATACCGCCCCTGTATTCACCGAGTATGATCTTGCTGTACTAATAGATCGTGTATGACGTCACCGACTTATTGGACGCGCAGTTTAGGGAAACAAAGGAGTGGATCAATCTTTTTCATAATTTGTTAATGTTTACATGAATGTTAAAACTTTTTACTTTTTTATATAAGATGGCAATTTAAGTTTAAAAAAAATGTCAAAAAATTATACAAGAACTGATGCTTTACACGTTTTGGACTTATATAAACGGAGATTATGACATAGATAAAAAGAGTCATGTGACCATGTGTCCTTCATCCCCTTAATTTACAGTGTTTGTATTATAATTTAATGTGATAGATAACTGCAAAAGATACACACACAACAATTCATGGTGCTCAACGGTGATTATTATCATTAAAGAATTAGAGGACAGTCGGGGTAACGACATGATGTTTTAACAGTAATTAACATATCTCAGACTGACCAATTACCCCACAATTTTAATCTGGAGAGCCATAATGACCTCCCAATCAGCCTAAATAAATAAATGAAAACGCTAAATTAAATGTTTAGGTAAGAATTTCTATTTTGAAAATGAATTTTAGTACATTGCCTTCAGTTTTACATATAATATAATTTTATTACGACTAATCGATTGCAGATTTTCTAATCGATTGCCATCGTTCCAACCGAGTGATCAGTTAACCGGTTAGAAATTGCCATCCCTAGTAAATAGTTTTTGTCAATGAGTATTTGTATTTACTTTTTCAATAATATTTTCATTTTTTGAAATAAAACTTGTAACATGTTTCAAACTGAAATGTGACAATCAAGCAGTTACCATATCTTGCCAAATATAATATGCATTGGTTTAAATATGCACCCCCTTTTTCAGCCTGATAACTTGGGGAAAATTGCAGCTCGGTTGTAAAGATTATTTGCTACAAAATCTTATTTCGTACAGGGCACAAGTTATTTAAACATTAAGATTTTAACAGACTTGAAATTTCTTTGACAATAACTTAAAGATAAGTCACTTGACATATGTGTTGTAATCAACACACACCCAAAGCTTAAAAAAATGAAGAACGAAGGTTATAAATCGACCTCTCAAATATGAAACAGGGCTCTCAATTGTCTATAATTGGGGCCGTTCAAGGGCCCCACTCCGAATTCAAAAAAAGGTGCCTTTTTTCCCAATAAATGTGTTAATTTTCCCAATAGTAATTTCTCCCAAAAATTAAAGAAAATATAGCTGGATATATACCAGTAATAACTTAACTTGCTATTCAAATTCCTCTGTTTTATAAAACAAATTTTGTTGATAACGAAGACCGGAAACCCAATATATATGATTTTAAAGTACGTGTAATGGTTATTCCAAAATTTCCTAAAAGGTCTTTATTTTCCCAATCTTCCCAATGAAAATGAAAACAATTATATTTACAGCAAATAAGAAGTGCCCTATCTTGTCAAAAATGTGATTGGAATAGATAGACCATTTCTTTATCCAGGTGAATATCATTACCGCTACATTTTCAAAATGGTAATTATTTACCGCTACATACTCATTACCGCTGCAAAAAATGTACACATTACCACTACATTTAAAAGTTTACATTACGAATACATTGCCTCTTTCATTAGCCAATGGATTATGCATGTACAGATTGATACAAAGTACATGTACAACATATCCAAGCATAAGACCTTTTTCCACTGCTCACCATGGGAGACAAAAGTAGGGCTTAACAGGGTGGCTTTTTCCCACTTTTTTATTAGTCCCCTACCGGTGAAACCAGAGGGAATTATAGGTTTCCTCTGAGTCTGTCCATCTGTCTGTCTGTCCCTCTTTCAGTCTGTCCCATTTGTTTTCCGCACTTTTTTCTAAACGCTTGCAGATATTGAGCTGAGTTTTGGTATGTAAGTGTATCTTGATGAGTTACAGTTCAAGTTTGCATTTTGTCATGCTTCTGAATCAATGATTTTTAATGGAATTGTGGCAATTCAATTTTTAGTGGGAACCAGATTACACTTGCCGGTAGGGGACTAGTATTGCTAATGCAATACTCTCAAAATGCTTGTTTAATCTTAATTATAGTAGGTATTTAAGTATGCAAGTACAATACTGTACATATAAATGCTTGTTCAAAATAAAGTTTTTCTCGTAATTTCAGCCCAATGCAACAGAAACTAAAAATTCAAGAACCTATTGGTAATTAATCTGATGTTTTTTAAATAGATTGATCGAAAGTACATGCAATATAATTCATACTATATAAAGGTGCAGTGTTTAATTGATTTGTTACAAAAAAGAGCAATGACCATATCACCAATGCTAATGTAGTGGTAAATATTTTTAATATTTAATAAGTTCCACATTTTTTTTTTCACAGTGAAATGGTAAAAAAGAAACTGCTAGCGCTACTGTGCAGACTACCATCAATCAACATGATCAACAAAATCAAGTAATCCTTCTGAGTAAGTGACCTGTAGTATTATCTGTTTTCACCTAGGCCAATATGAGAAGGATGAAAGTTATTATACTCAATACACAAGTTTGGAGATTGTAGCTCTTCAACAAGAGAAACACAAAAAGAAGCCATATCTGCATGAAAGTGGCAGAGATTGTTGATAAAGTATACACAATCATGATTAAATAAATGTCAAAATGATGGCTTAATTAGGGCCTTTTAAAATGTAATTAATATTAAAGAAAGATTATACATGCATATTATGTCAAGCAATGATGATTTTGGTGATCATATTGAGCTATACTTTAGTAATACAGGTTTTTGGATGCTTGAGTCTCTGATTGACAATATATATGTAGTTTTTGGAGACCAGGTCTTCCAATAATCTGTCAGAATTCCCATGGGTACCAATTGCAACCTGTTGTTAGGCTAGCAGACCTCTTTTTATATTCATATGAAGCAGAATTTATTCAATATCTTACACATGAGAAGAAAAAAACACTTGCTGTGGTCTTGAACTCGACAGTGAGATATATCGATGATATATTATCAATTAACAATAGTTATTTCCATTCATATGTCAACTATATATATTATACTCCAGTGAGCTTGAAATAAAAGATACCACAGAGTCTGACACATCTGTTTCATGTTTGGATATTATTTATTTCCATCCCTAATTAAAATTTTAGAAATTGATTATGTACATGTAATATTAAATGCATGTTTCTTGGAAAGTATGTTTTAAGTGTTTCCTTACTACTATTAAGGATTTTCATGGTCCGGTATATCAGATTCTTGTTTATTATCCTTTTCTAAGTGTTACTTTTCTCTAAGCAGTAAACAGGCAGTTGTATCACTAATGTTAGGTGGAGACACCTATCAAGTTACCTACAGTTACAGCCAAGGTTTAATGAAGAATCATCTGGAGTCTGGCAGTGAGAGTGACAGTCGGCAGTGGATACTCACTCCTCTAAGGCACCTGATCCCACCTCGGATGTTTTTTAGGTAGAGGTTGCACTGCTCAAATCATAATTTGAATGGACTTTTGAGCTTAAATACTATTCGTTGTCTCCATATTTCGTTTTATAAAATCTAGTTTTAATTAGGATGATTGAAAACAAATGAATCATCAATCCCTTTGAGAGAAGACACTTCCTAGATTGTACAAATTTATTCTAAAAAAAAAATAGTGGAATCTTTAAAATTATTACGAGGGGAAAGAGTCATTGTTTCATTTAGAATCCTGACGTGCAGTGATCAGATGCCTATATATTAGAGATCCATTTTTCTTTCTTCGTATTATTATAAGATTTTTCCAGTGTGTTTTTTTCCCAGATATTTTTGGTATTTATTATTTAAATTTTGAGCTGATTAGTGCATCCAAATAAACAGTTATAGACCAGTATATTGAACATGTCCTACTAGCAGGTTTATGAAATATATGGAGATAACAAACAGTATTAAAGCTCAAAAGTTTGTTCAAACAATACAATTCAGGAGCAGAACAATACGGACCTCTAAAACATCAGAGGTGGGATCAGGTGCCATGGAGGAGTGACCATCCCCTGTTGACCAGTCACTCGGCGGTGTGCTTCCTGTCATGATCCAGGAAAAATTAGAAAAATCTGTATGCAATTCAGTGTGTAAATAATGGCCTGGAAATTAGATTTAAAACGTCAATCAGCACTTGACTTAATGATAGATTATATTTTCTGACAAGCAACAAGGTCATTGTATCGACCATATAACTATTGTAATGATGACTTTAAACAAGACTGATGATATTCTTGTTTCATCAACTTGTTTGTCAATAACTTACTTTGTTTTAGAAATTGTTCATAGGTAGAGCATGCTCTTGCGTATCGAATCAACAGAGAGATATGAACCCTGTATGCAGGTGATGAGGGTATATTGCTGCATTTCAAGTAAGGGAAGTTGATGATTGAAAAGTTAGTCATAAAGGTTTGTTGTTAGGTTACCATTAACCTCTTTTTATAGTAAATTATCAAAATATGAAACAGATGTGTCAGACTCCAGGGATAGACTTTAACTTTCATATTCACTTGTCCTATGGGACAACAAATTTTGACTTGTCCAAATGCAAAACTTGGTTGCCCAAACCTTAGAAAGAAGAAAATACGGGTCATTTAATTTATGTGCAATAAAGTACTTTCTATTGGCAAGTTAACTGCCAAGAAAAATGTTGATGTGTCAGATATCCTACAATTGTAAATTCTGTACATGTATACCACTGTCCTTTCATTTATCCTGAAAACTTGCACTGCCATGCAGCAGTATATATTTTCTTTAAAATAAAATTCATATTTTAAATATATATATATTTAAGAAATGAATTTAATTTTTGAAGATTCATGAGGACATGAACTACGACGCTTCACGCCGGCATATTTCATGAAGCGCGTTAGCGCTTCATGATAAATATGCCGGCGTGAAGTGTTGTAGTTCATGTACCTCATGAATCTTCAAAAATTAAATTCATTTCTTATATTTACATTATTTTCTGATGAGTTACCACAAATTACGCCATTCAACTGTCATTTTAAAAGCAAAACAGTTTGCACTATAGTTTTGACGTCAAGTACGGTATTATGACGTAACAATGGAGATATTCATGCTCATCCATGGTAGTTCATGAGAAAATGAACTGTCTTCTAATTTGCAAAGAATCTTAAGGAAAAATATTTGGGAATGTAAATATATATATATATATATATATTATTTTGATTTTTTTCTCTGGAAAACTGAGGCCACACTAAAGGAAAACAGTTGTTATGTTTTGAAACATACATATCCTGATCAGAATACATTGTTTGCCGAGAATAACTGGTGTTCTCTGAGTGAAAGACAAACTATTCTTGTTTAAGAAACTATTTTTGATATGTTCTTGGCAGAAAGTGTTATTGTTTTGTTTAAAACTAATGCAAGATATGAAAAAAAAAGAAGTTTTTATCTGAAATATTCACTTGCCAAATCGGACAAGTACATTGGCATTTTCACTTGCCTTAACTGGGAATTAACTTGCCCCGGATAATCGGACAATGGTTAATGTCGATCCCTGGACTCTGTGGTATCTTTAAATTATCAAGCTCATTGGGATAATTGTGTTGAAATATGAATGGAAATAATTAATACCGTAAAGTCACGTGTATCGGACACACTTTTTTTTTTTCAGAAAAATTGTTCAAAAGTGTGGGTGCGTGCATTACATAGGAACTAAATTCAACCCCTTTTTCTGGACATTTTTTCTTAACTCTTATGAGTGATTTTCACTGTTACCACATTGTAAGTTTATTACATATTATTCCCCAATTCTTGAATGATAGTCACGTATGACAGATCGCTGATAAATAAATCAGCAAACAGAAATGTAAAAAGATATTTCCATTAAAATATTATTCAAAATTAAATATATATATATATATGTATATTTAAAATAAATTATCTTTTTCTAACTTGGATATCATCACTGCCAAATTTAACTCCTCTCGACCCTAATGTAGGTCATATTTGTTTATATAACAATTTCCGGCCATTTGGTTTTGAAACAACTGCCATTTTAAACAATACACTTGTAATTAGTAAAGTTTATTTAATGATAAATATTTTACACACCTTTTTAGTTACCTGGTATCACTTGTATACATAAGTGTGACATTAATTACGCTTGGGATGATTTGTTTACGTAAACACAGACACCTGCTTGGAATGCATTTTCAGCACAATATTGTAAAATGCTTAGGGTTATAGGGAAAAAAAATACAGGACTTAATTTTTAATTTATACCAATCAAATAACAATTAAAATACAGACTATACTTAAATACTTATAAATAAAGCTTATATGTAAACTGAATTTTCCAAGAAAATTAGAAGTATCCTACTTTCGTTTTTGAAATAATATGAATATTTTAACTTTTTAAACTTTTTCTTTGGAATAGTTGTGCTGTGAAAATAAGAGATACATCCGCATTTTTGGGGTAGCATTTTATCCATAGGAACTGCATTTTTCTCAGGATTTCTCCCCCCCAAATTTGGGGGTGTGTCTATTACAAGACTACGGCCTTTACACCTGACAATATGGTACTTAGTCAATATATCTAAATGTTAAAGGCGACAGCATGTATTTTCTTCTTCTCATGTATAAGATTTTAAATAAATTCTGCTTTGTATGAATACAAAAATAGGTTTGATAATAACGGAGCACAATTGGTACCTATGGAAATTCCAAGAGATTTTTGGAAGACCTTGTCTCTAAAAACCACATAGATATTGTCAATCAGAAACTCGAGAATCTTTTTAATATCAACTTCAGAGTACTTGTGTGTACAATCAGTGTTTTTTTACAAATAATTTTGCAAATGACCAATGACAAGATAAGTTAGTTTTTGAGTTCCACTTTTAATGAAAAAGCAGCTGTCAATAAACAAATCTCTCGTCCATACAAAAAACAAAAAAGCATACCAAGGGTGATAATCTCAAAACTTAAGCATTGATCTGTTCGAAATAATTTTTTTTTATTGACATACATTTAAGGATAAACAACAATACTTGATATCGCGATTACTTAAATTAGCGGAACTCTTTCACGGAGGTAGGAAACGTCTGTTGGATGGGGGCAGTGTACTATTGAATGCAATGCATGATCGATCATTGTGGAATTTATAAGGACTGATAAGAAAGAAATCCTAGAGAAATATCTTGCTAAACATGCGCTGAACCAGCCTAATAAATTTTTGAGAGGAGCTAATCCTGTATGTTGCATGTTTTACGATACTTTTTACTAAGCGGACTTTTCTTATTAAATTCTAAATGAAAATCGTTACTTTTGAAAGTTGATAAAATACTCTAAACTTTCCTTACTTGACAAATCTACTATTTGGAGTTCAACTCTTGACAATACATTGTAGTTTCGGCATAATGATTGTTCGAATCATTCCATTGTCACTACTGTAATGTTATGCCCCAGAAATCTTGTGAGATTTAGAGCTTCCTCGACTCCCATGCTAATTAAAGAGTGGTTGTAAGTTAGATAATTGCGAGATACTCGCAATACTACGTATTGCAAAATACTGGTACTTTTAATTCAATTCACTTGTGCTCACCTTTAAAATGCATTCACAATTCTTTATAAAGTTGGTGACATTATGTATGAAAATATAATGTCTAGTTACATGTTTAAAGTATGCTTGTGGTACATGTATGCATTTTTTTTTCTTGAACAGTAAAGGAAGGGATGAGAGAGTTCATTGAGTGCCATAAACTTTCATTTGTATGTTATTTTTTAGAGATGGAGTAGTACACAAGCACAATTTTTTAAAGAAAGAAAAGTCAATGGAATGAAAGCCAAAGAAAAGGTGAAGTGAATTGTCACTCATTATATTTTAAATTTAATGTGGACATGGTCATTATTTTAGTTATGTCATAACCTTCTTATCAATTTTAAGCAGTGCAGACAGATGCATTTCTTATTGCTTTGAATAGAATAAATTATCAAAAAAGTTTGTATATGTTTTTTGATATAGAATTTATATTAAAAAAAAATTATCAATTACTGCAGTTTTGAATTTCAGTACACTAGAAATTTTTCTGCCCTGCCATGAATATGGCTGGGGCATATAGAGTTTGTCATGTCCGTCTTCCTTCCTTTCAACCTTCTGTCTGTCCTTCCATTCCACTTTGCTTTTAGCTCAGTTCAAAACTAAGTTTCAAAGAAACTATTCAAGATATTTTTATCAATCTTCATATGCTGATACATATTGATAAGAGGTATTCAATTTCATCAAGGTACCTTGACCTTTCCTTTAACTTTGACCTCACTTTTCTTAAATTAGTGTTTAACTCAGTTTTAAAGAAACCATTCAAGATAGTGCAATCAAACTTCATATGCTGATACATACTGAATCAACATTTTTTACCTTGACCTTTCCTTTGACCTTGACCGTACTTATCTTAAATAAGTGTTTAGCTCAGTTTTAAAGAAACCATTCAGGATAGCGTAATCAAACTTCATTTGCTGATACATACTGATGAGAGCTATTCAACTGCATCAACATTTTTTGATCTTGATTTTTCCTTTGACCTTCACCTCACTTTTTCTAAATTAGTGTCAAACTTCATATTCTGATACAGACTGATGTAAGGTATTTGACTGTATCAACATTTTTGACCTTGACATTTCATTTGACCTTGACTTCATTTTTCTTGAAATGGTGATTAGCTCAGTGTTAAATAAACGGTTTCCATTCAAAATATTTTTATCAAACTTATTTTGCTTATGCGTATTAGTGAGAACTATTCAACTGCATCAAAAATGTATGACCTTGAACTTTCCTGTGACCTGGACCTCACTTTTCTTAAATTTGCATTTTGCTTAGTTTTAAAGAAACCATAAAATATAATTTTATGTGAGCTTATGCACTTAACAGAATTTGGTGGGAATTTATCATCTATATCCAACTTTTTCGATTTCAATGTTAATGAAACTATTTTAAGATATTCTCATCAAATTTCATACACTAAAAATATTTTTATGTTGCATTACTAATATGCCCACATGGTGCAGTGGTTAAAGCTCTAGAGTTGCGGAGTAAGGAGTTGATCCTTATGTCGCTGGTTCGAATCCCACTGTGGGACGTGGAGACCGTATAAACCGAGGTCCCATGTCACAGTAGGTGCTGACATAAAAAGATCCCTCACTGCTTAATGGCCCTTAGTGCCAAGTATAGGTCAAAATTTGCAGCTCTCCACCGGCAAGTGGTGGCGTCTCCATATGAGTGAAAAATTCTCGAGAGGGATGTTGAACAATAAACAAGCAAATAAAAATTAATATACCCTCAGCGGGGCATTCATGTCCTATGGACATATTTCTAGTTTTGCCCTCTTTTACATTTGTACATGGATATACTTTTTATTTTTGCTCTGTAAACAACAACAACAAAAACATTATACCATATAATATGCACAAAATTATATGCTAGGAATGTATTGTGAAAGATGCATTTCAGCTGACAAATGTAGCATCTTTAAGCCAGCTTTTTAAAAATTTTTCTGAATGACTTTCAGGTACTTCTTTTATATTTGCAACTCATTTATAGGGATGTATTAGTATGGTAGCCTGTCTGCCAACACCTTGTAGATGAGATTCTAGCACATATTGTGTGAAATGGTTCTCTTAATTGACATGAGAAGGTCACTATTTTTTATCAAGATAAAAATTACTTGTATGTCTTGTAATAACATTATTTAATATATCCCTTTCATAGCACACATGTTCGTTTCAAAGAGAAGAAAACATTTATAATTTTTCAAGGTCAATAATCTCATGGATGAAATGCAAACTGTACTATTTGAAATAGGTGGTATAGGTATTTCAGAGTCTGTATTACATCTTGCCAGTTTATTGTTGGAGGGAATATTCTCATCAAATAAACTATGTAAAGATTTGCTTTTTAATGCAAAGTATTTTTATAAGTAATAACTTCATTTCAAGTTACAATGAACAGTTAATCAATGCATCTCACTTTGTATCTAATGCATTTTTAGAACACAAATTTGTGGTTTAAAATATGTTGTAATAGTTTAATAATTCTATTCATTTTTTTTAATTGACAAGAAATGAAAATGTAATGATTATTTCAAAATAGTGTTTTATTCCTCTTATGTATATTTATAGATATGTAAAAGATTGTTATTTTTATTGATGTTATTTTTGTGTACAAAATACTAGTTATTTATTACTTTATACAAAACTAATGTTGTGAAGATTGATAATAATAGAAGTCCTTATGCATATATTGAACAGTATACAAATGTCACCAATGTAATACACATTTACAAATAAAATGAAATTTTACATGACTTGCACATATTTGCATTATTTGTTACAGTTATAACAAATCTAATTCATTGTATTTATTGTTTCCAATTTTTATTGTCTATTCAAACATGGAAAAATTAAATGTGTAATGATGTTAAAGACACAAGAATATGAATTAGAATAAGACTGTATGAACTACCTTTAGATTTATGAATTCAGTAGACAGTGACTGTGACAAATGTGTATTTAGGATAGAGATCTTAGACATGAGAAGAAAAGGGGTTGTTTTACAAACTTTTTTTAGCATGGGGAAATATTGACATTTTTATACAACAACAAATGAAGTTACTGGAATTGTGAAGTCTACGTGTCTTCTGTGAGTAGACATCTTTTGAAACAAAGGTAGCTTGTGGCCAGAAATATTCTAGACCCAGTAGTAATGGTCTTTTGCACAAGGTCATAGTCACTGTATATCAAAGTATTAAATACTTACCAATAATTGTTTGTAACCTCAGAGTATGATCCTAACACAGGTTAATACAGGTCAAGGCCATAGGGTTTAGAAATGTAATAAATATTCAGATAAACACATAATTCTGTTTGTTTATTTGTTTGTTATACATCCTTTAAGAATTTTTCACTAGTATTGAGACACCACAACTTGCTGGTTGAGGGCTGCAAATATAGACCTGTACTTTTGAGCAGTGAGAGGTCTTTTCTTGTCCCAGCATATACTGCAACAAGGGAATTTGGTTTCATTGGAAGAACCGGTTTCCATGTCCTTCAGTGGGATTTGTACCTATGACTTAAGGAACAAGTCGTTACTCCACTACTCTAGAGCAAATGCTTTGACCACTGCGCCAAGCGGGCAATCACATTATTGTTATACTAGATGTAAATCAAGGCGAAGGGATAATTGTGACTTGGGGATGTATAACAACCCTGCATCAAGTTCAATTTTTGTCCACTATAAAATAACTTCCAAAGATTATATTATCCTAGGGTTCATTATGCTCAGAGTATATGACATAAATTGGATATATAAAATTCTAAAATACATTTTTTTTTTTTAGAAAAGTACAAGGTTATAGTTTCAAGAGGTCATATCTAGCATGTACAGGTGATTGTGGCTTAGATGATGATTCTATACCATAAGTCATCATGTGACTACGACGTTTTAAATCAATGTGTTTCTTTGGTGGTGGATGAAATATTTTCTTAACATAACAATTACTATCGGTCATTTACTATATTTCCATAAGATTCAGGACATGAAAATTTGTCTACGAATAGACATCACCGTATTAGTTCCTTCTAGTTAAAATAAGGAATCATCATACTGGGTTTTAAAGTGCCTAATATTTTACTTAAGATAAATGCAAATTGACCAATAAATACTGGTATGAGAAGTACATTTATGCATGTGTAGTTTTTTATTAAAATAATTAGAAAAAAGAAAATGGTCTACATAATCACGTATATATATATATTCTGGTCTCCTTTATGCATTATATATACTTGGTCTACTTTAACCCTTCGGGATCCTCATAAAATATATACATGTCTACCTTAAACCTCCAATGTATTTACAAAACATTAAGGAGACCAGAAATGTCGTATATTTTTCAGGAAGCAACATTTAGGGCTGAGGGGGTAAAATTTTCATTATTGAAGCCTATTAGAATAAATTTGGGTGAAAGTGTGAATCAGAATGTCTCAAATAAAAGAAATGAAAAATGTCTACTTAATGCCTCAAAATAAGTGCGGTCTACTTTATGCCAAAGTCCACCTTATATATATATATATATATATATATATATATATATATAGCATTTATATATCAAAAACATGTATGCCAAATACGTGCCGTTCACATTGAAATCTCTTTTTAACATTTCCTGATGCTAAACAATTGTAACGATCGACATTTGGAATGACTTAAAACCCGGGGGTACAGGTTTGAAATTGGTTGCTGAATACATTTGTTACAATGTATATACATATGCAGTGGACCCAAATTACGATTTAAAAGCAAAATGAGCGGCAACTTTGATGTCAGAAATTTTTATTCCAATTGTAATTAAGTTTTTCAATGAGAGAAAAAAGAACCTTTATAAACTTCTGTTCTTCATATTTGCGATGGAAGAACTATCTATAAGCTTTGTTTGAAGCAAAATCACATTATTGTCCTCCAGCACAATATTGATTTTTTATACATGTTTAATACTATAGATTTGATTGTACAGAATTCTTTGTTCTGAAACAATTTGATACTTTACTTCTGTCTAATTGATCAAAAAGGTTTAAATTCCATTACACATTTTAACAGCAAAATAAAATTCTCAAAAATGCAGCTGATATTGCTCTAAGAGAATAATTTTTAATTGGAACACTTAAACTTGATAATGAAATGAGAACGTTATTTAAATCTACCGTTAAATTAACGATAGAAAATCGTTAAAAATAAACACTGAATAAAAAACCTTTACAGTGCTTTTTATTTCATATAATTGTGACGTCCCTGCTTTTAAATAAAAAAAAATGGAGAAAAGCCAATGCTTTCTTTTGTTTTGTCAAACTTTAATCGAGTTAGCTCTTATTGAAAAGTGGATATCACAATCATGCAAAAAATGTTAAGGTAAGTATAGTTTTAAAATGACAAATGAAGATATTTTCTTTTTTTAACCCGCTCATGTTAAGAAGACAAAGATATCGATAACTACGAAACATCCGCGAGAATACGAAACCGAGGTCCCGTGCTGCAATTGGTGCTGACATGAGAAATATCTTACATTATACAATGGGCACAAGAGATCAGTTGGGGTCTAAATACGTGTAGACATGCATATCTTAGTTCCACACTTATAATTACAGTCTTCAACAGTAGGTATTACAGTGCTGCTTTCCTATAAGTTGACAATCCTATCCTATCCTATCGTGAATCCTGCATCCACAATCCTATCCTGTGATTTCAGTCTAATCCTATCCTATCCTATCCTGCTACT